CCTATCCTATCCTATCCTATCCTATCCTATCCTATCCTATCCTATCCGCTTCTGTTCTGCTCTGCTCTACACTTTCTTCCCCATTGGAGTGGAGAACTGGGTCTGTTGTGAATATTAGAGTTACTTTAGCAACAAGCTAGTAAGGATGAATGTGATTCATTTTGGTCTGGGCTTCCTTTCCTTCTCTGTACTGCGTCTATCAAGTGATTTAACCTGTCAGGTTACTATCTTTTCAAGAAAGAGCACTGAAAAATGCAAATATTCTTATCCCTCAGAAGAGTGCTTAAGCCTTTGCAAAGCAGGACCATCCTCAGGGATGGGCATATGGCCTTTTATGCCCCGTGCTTCCTTCTAAATCTATCAGAGTTTAGTACATTTGGTAGATGTCTAGGGGTCCAGCTAGATGAAAAACTTAACATGAGCCAGCAGTGTGCACTTGCAGCCCTGAAGCCCAACTGTATCCTGGGATGCATCAAAAGAGAGATGGCCATTAGGAAGAGGGGGATGATTGTACCCCTCTACTCTGCCCATCTGGGGTACTGCGTCCAGACCTGGGGCCCACAGCACAAGAAGGAATGGAGCTGTTGGAATGGATTTAGAAGAGGACCATGAAGATGATCAGCGGGCTGGAGAACATCTTCTACAAAAACAGAATGAGGGTACTAGGCTTGTTCAGTCTGGGGCGAATCTCATTGTGGCCTTCGAATACTTAAAGGCAGCTTATAACCAGGAGGGAAATCATTTTTTTTTTCATGGGTAGGTTGTGATAGGACAGGGGGAATGGTTTTAAACTAAAAGAGGGGAGATACAGATTAGATGTCAGGGGGACATTTTTCACTGAGAAGGTGGTAAGATGCTGAAAAACACTGTCCAGATAAGTGATGAATCACAGAATCACAGAATTGTAGGGGTTGGAAGGGATCTCTAGAGATCATCGAGACCAACCGCCCCTGCCAAAGCAGGTTCCCTACACCAGGTCACACAAGTAGACGTCCAGGCGAGACTTGAATATCTCCAGAGAAGGAGACTCAACAACCCCCCTGGGCAGCCTGTTCCAGTGCTCCGTCACCCTCACCGAATGCCCTATTCCTGGAGATACTCAAGGCTGGGGAAGCCTGACTGAATGAGTACTAACCTGCCTATGGCAGAGGAGTTGTAACTAGATGATCTTTGACATCCTTTCCAACCCAAGCCATTCTATGATTTTATGATGATACCTGTAATCGGGTTTATGCCATAATGTGGCATAATGTTGAGTGGAAATAAACTGAAAACACGTTGTTATTCCACATAAATCTTCATATTTTGCCATCACATTTTCTATTAAAATTAATGAATAGAGCCAAGTAGAGTGAACAGAAATATATGAATTTATGTGAGGGAAAAAATGTCATCAGATTGTTATTAATCTATTACACTTGTTTTTGTTTATCAATACACAAAGTGGTTTGGGATTGACGTGCTGGAGAGCAGTGTAGAGGAAAGGGACCTGGGGGTCCTGGTGAACAGTGGGCTGACCATGAGCCAGCACTGTGCCCTTGTGGACAAGAAGACCAGTGGCATTCTGGGGCATACTTGGTTAGTATGTCGAAAGGGGTTCTCCTCCCCTTCTATTCTGCCCTGGTGACCGCATCTGGAGTATTGTGCCCAGTTCTGAGCCCCTCTGTTCACAAGGACAGGAACTGCTTGAGAGAGTTCAGTGCAGAACCACAAAGATGATGAAGGGACTGGAGCATCTGCTTTATGAGGAAAGGCTGAGGGAGCTGGGTCTCTTTAGCTTGGATGAGACTGAGAGGTGACCTCATTAATGTTTATAAATATGTAAAGGATATGTGTCAGGAGGGCAGAGCCAGGCTCTTCTCAGTGACATCCAGTGATAGGACAAAGGGCAATGGATGCAAGCTGGAACACAGGAGGTTCCACAAAAATATGAGGAAAAAACTTCTTTACAGTGGGGGTGACAGAACGCTGGAACAGGCTGCCCAGAGAGGCAGGGGGGTCTCCTTCTCTGGACACATTCAAAACCTGTGCGGATGCATTCCTGTATGACCTAGTCTAGGTGTTCCTGATAAGGCAGGGGGATTGGACTAGATGATCATATGAGTTTCCTTCCAATCCCTAACATTCTGTAACTGGTATGGAGAAGAGACAGCAGCTATTAAAATGAAGACTTGGTAAAAAAAATACTCTTTTCACTTCTTAGCCAGGATTATGGCATTTCATTTATTTAAATAAATAACACTTTTTTTTAGCTCATCTTTTCTCTTCTCTTTTTTTTCTTTTCCTTTCTCTTCTCTTCCTCTCTCTTCCCCTTCTCTTCCTCTTCTCTCATCCTCTTCCTCTCCCTCTTCCTCTCCCTCTCCTCTCCTCTCCTCTCCTCTCCTCTCCTCTCCTCTCCTCTCCTCCTGCTGTCCCTGCTCTCTGCAGACACTCCTGCCTCCTAAACCAGGAGCTGTGGCCTTCCAAAGGCTGGCTCCTGCCTTTCCCCCAGCTGGGCCCATTTCTCTGTCCATTCCTGAGCTCGCAGTGAGCTGGCATGTCAGCAGGAGATTTCTCCTGTCTGACTGTCCTCTCATTCGCCAGATCTCTGTCCCCACTATCCACAGGCACCATACTTTTTCCCTTGCCCCACATGTACTCACTTGGACTGTGTTCTGGAAGCAGTCACGGCTGGGCTCTGTCTCGAGCAGGACCACCATGAGCCAGCCCAGAGCTTTCAACGATGTTTGCTGAAGCTGAAAGCAGAAGAGGAGATTGAGGTGTGGCATCACAGCTGCTGCCAGAGCACAGGTCATATGTGCTGAGGTAGGGTTCCTACTGAGAGGTGTCCGGGAAAGTGACAGCAGGTTACCTGCAGGTACTGAGCTGCTTGCTGTGACTTCCTGATCTTCAGCATCATTTTGCTGAAGGCTGTGTCACAATATTCTTGCAGAACAGAGTCAACATTTCACACATGTCCTTGTTTCCAAAAGCAGGCTTCAGCTTACTAACAGGAGGAAAAAAGGAAGAGAAAGCAGAAAGGGCCTTTACCAGTGCTCTCCAGACTGGTTCAGACAACATCCAACATTCTCCAAATCAACAGCTACAAACTAAACACCCCCAGCACATGCTGCTGAGCACTGTGTTTGGTTCCAGCAGCGCTCACCTCCTCCCTAGCAGCAGTGAACCACCTCCCTCTCTGAAGGGAAGGAGACCCCTTCTCTTCCCCGCCACGGGACAGGAGCACCAGGGCCTTTCTCCCTGAGCTGAGGGAGAACCTCAGCTTCGCTGGGCACAACAGCCCAGCCATCTGTCCTGTGGTTGCAGCTCCTCACCCCTTACCCCCTCCAGGCCTTCGGAGCTACCCAGTAGGTGGAGCACCATCTTGTTTTGCAATCCCAGAGGCTCCCGCCCTTACCTCAACTGCTCCAGGGCCAGAACCACCTTGAGGGACACTGGGGAGACAGGGACACCCAAGCAATACTTCTTCAGCAAGTCCTGTAAGTCCCAGAGAGACACTGTCAAAGTGGGCAAGAAGCACGCAAGAGCTGTTCCACCCGGCCCAGAGACAGACACAACTGCCACACACCAGCCCCATCACTCCCACGTTTCCCACTGCAGGATGCAGCAGCTCCACAGCTGATGGACCCAGCCCGCTGCCCAGCTGCTGCTGGCCAGCACCCAAGGTCCCCACCAGCTGGAGACATGTATGTCTCCAGGGAAGTGAGCCTTGTGACACAGCCCAGAACTCCACTGCAGATAGCTCTGGCTCTAGGCACTCACCATCAGGATCTCCAGAAGCTTGGCCTTCAAGGAGAGGTTAAAGCTGGCGGAATCACCCACGCTTTGGAAGGCAGAGCTGGAGTTGGTGATGCTCTGCACCGGTGCAAGTTTGTTCTTCAAGTCCTGAGGCCCAAGAGAGAAGAACATGCTTTGAACTGCAGGAAGGGCTGAGGGCTCCACGGGGGACACATGGGAGCGATGCCAAGGGAAGGGCTTGGATCCTCATCTGGGCACAAACCACTCCCCGAGGGACCTTTAGAAAGAGAAGTCCCATCTCAGCATCTCTCCATGTGGAGGGGCTGCAGCTGGCACTCAGACTCCCTTGAAATGCCCTGTTTCAAGCTCTCACCTGGCAGCTGCAGCTGTAGAGCAGCAGGATGTTGCCCACAATGTCTACCTCCAGGCGGGCGAGCAGTTGTTCCCTGGAGGCACACAGTGCCAAACTGCTGTAGGAGAGCATGAGAACGCTGCGTGTGGCATGAACAATCCTGCTGTTCAGCATTATCTGTGTGGGGAGGATGCTTTGAGACACTCGCTCAGTGGCCCCCAGTGCCTAACAGTGCACCTGGGCTCCCAAGGCAGGAGCTGCTGTGAAAATAAGGCAGAAGAAAGCCCAGGTGGAATCCCGTAACACTTCACCTTCTTGATCCTGGGAATCCTTCCATTCCGGCCCTTGCACAGCCTGGACAAAAACATGATGAGGGTGTCCAGGACTGGGTGGAAGTTGCCCTCAGCAGCATGGCTGACAAGAGAGATCATCCCCTGCACAAAAGAACAAGGGGCAGTTGGTGCAGGCCTGAACTTACTGGTGCAGCCAACCACAGTGGCTGGGCCAGTCCTCGCCTGAGGGAAACGCTTTCCTTTCCCAAACCAGCTCACCTGGATCCTGAGGTTGCTGCACACACGCTGCACAGCCTCTGCAATCTGGGGCAGCTTCTCCGTCATCATGGGTTCTGCAAGAGATGTGCAGAAGCATGCATGGGACACAACCCCGATGGCAAAAGGGATCCCTGGAAATAGTGACCTATGGTACTGACCATCAGACCAAGCTAGAGCACTGAGCAGACCCAGGGCTGCCACACATCCAGCCTCCTTCTCATCGCCCAACTGCAACTGCAGAAACAGGAGTGTTTCTTCTGGGCGGATTCGGGCTGCAGAAAGAAAATCCCGTGCTATGTTAGCAAGAAACTCATGCCCATTGCTGAGGTTTGCGAGAAAGCTTTTGGCCAGGGCACCGCCAAGAATCTCCAAGGCTCCTCCTCTCCTTACCCTGCAGCAGGATGCAGTGGGTCAGCTCTTTGCTATTAGCCTCGCTGTGCTGCTTGGTGTCATCAGAGAGCTGTGGGAGCAAGGTCCACTTCAGAAAATTGCATCAGCACTGAGGACAGAAAAGAAACTGTGCTGCCAGCTCTTGTCTCCCTTGGCACTCTCAGGAGGAGGACATGCAGACAAAACCCAGCCTGCCCCACAGCATCCCTGGGGGCATACGCATGGCTCTGGAGCAGTCTCTGGCATGCAGGAGCTACAGCTGAGCGCCTGTCAGAGTCTCAGAGCTTTGCAGTCCTCCTGAGACTTAGCCAACAGGGAAACTGCTGTGGGTGCAAGGATAGGCTCCCTTTACCTGGTAGAACATTGCACTGGTAATGGCCAGAAACTTGTCCTTGGGGATGACAGTCTGAACTCCCTCTAAGGCCTCCAGGAACATACTGAGGCTCTGCAAAAGACCAGGAGAGGAAAAAAGGGCTGAAACCACATCTAGCCACTTGGGAGCAGAGAAACCGTTTCCCAATGGTTTCTCCACTGGGGGAAGCTCCTGCACAGGCATTCTTGTTTGTCCCCCACCTTCCAGCAGCACCAAAAGAGTCTTTCTGCTCTCAACCAAGCCCTGTTGGCACTGTTTGCAAGCATTTCCCACCCAGCATCCCTCTTCTCCCTCATCAGATACAACTGGATGTGGTCCGCCTGGTTTTTAGCACAGAGCTCCTCAGGCACTCAGAGCCCCACGGTGGTGGTTGTGAAGCCTCCCATTCCCAGGAGATGGGCCCCAGTGCCTCTTGGCTCCCTCCTGTCCCAATGTTCCTTCCTTGACTGAAGAGCTCAGCAAGCCTCAGACCTCCCTTGATCACCTGTTCCTTCTTTCTCCAAGGGCTCCCCACCTCCTCCCCGCATCCCCCTGGCCCCTCATGGCATTTGCATGAGCCCCACGTCCACTCTGAGCCCTGCACAACATCTCACGTTGGTCACTCTGCAGATGTCTTGGACCTCCTGATGTGGGCGCATGAGCCAGAGGAGCTGCTCCCAGGCATGCTCTCGGTGCAGCTCGTCTTGCAGGAGGACAGCCATCATGGCAGCCACAGCCCCGAGGACGGCCTGTTTGTCCTGCAGAGGAATGGCAGAGGCCCAGTATGAAAGACTGAAGGTCTGCTCTTCCTACAGAGAGGGCTTTCTCTTTCCCTTCCCCTTCCCCATACCCCCTTGCCCAGCAGGAGATGAGCTCACTCTGGAGGGCAGGGACATTTTCCCCACACCCTCATCCCCAGTACTCCCTGCCACAATGTTGTGACATGCAGCTGCTTCCTGGCAGGGAGATCCAGCCCTGAGCACAGTTTGGGGCCCTTTGCAGAGTTAGCCCACTCCTTCTCATCACCCCTCTGCTCTCAGCCCACTGGGCACAGGCAGAGCTGCTGACGTGGAGGTCCCCACTGCCATCCTGGGCTGGGAATGCAGCAGTGCTCACCTTTTCCTCCTTGCAGTCCTGCCAGTTTCTCAGCACGGAGAAGAAGAGCCGGTAAAGATTCTCGTAGATTTGCTCTTTCTCCATTGGCAGGCCGGGGGCATTGCTTTCCAGAGCAGAAGTGAACCTGGACTCCTTCTGACCAATGCTGCACAACTGAGACAACAAGGTGAAACAGAAAAATAAATGAATAATTAATTTTAAACGAAAAAACAAACAAAAAAAAAAAAAAAAAAAGAGAAAAGGGAACCTGTGAGAGTCTTCAGGGCAGGGTGCTTCAAGGGCTGTCCTGAGTCCCCTGCTCTGGAGCCAGCACTCACCAGCACAAGCGAGGCGCAAGGTCCAGCAACTCCTCACCTGGCCCACCACACTGCGCAGGCCAGCCAGCATCAGCCACATGAAGGGGATGCACTGTGGAGCTGCAGGGGACAAGGAGGGGGCCAGGGTCAGAGCCCTGGCAGCGAGGGAGGAGGGGCGGAAGCCCTGCATCCCCCAGCTCAATGCAGATCACGCGCAGAGGGGAGAGACCCCTTTCCCCGGTTGTCATAGATGTAGGGTGGCTGAGAGTACTCTACTGTAGTTGCTGAACAGTTTGGTGAGGGTGATGAGCACAAACTCCTTGGCTATCTCCCCCATGGCCTTCAGATGGCCCTGGAGCTCAGCCATCACCAAGCTGAAGTGTGTCCGGTCCAGAGCCACCAGGACGTTGCTGGCAGCCATCCTCATGTTGTTTGTCACACCCTGAAAAAGAGTCACTCGTGACACACTGTACAGGAGACTGCCTGAGACCCTTGGAAGGGCTAAGCCACCGCCGTCCACCAGCAGAACACCAGCACGGGCAGGCGGCTCCCTTTGCCTTTGGCTGTAACCCCTCACCTGCGTCGCTCTCAGGTCCTGGGACACCTCTGCCAGCAGCCAGTTCGCCTCTCCGCATGGTGGACGGCTGTCATCTTCCCACAGGACGCCCTCCAGCTCGCAGTACACCTGTGCTCGATCACACTGGGGACAGGGATCAATCATGGTTTGCTTTGCCCTTGTTCTCGGGGAGCTGCCCGCTGCCACCCATCATTATGCTGGTGTGCTGCCGGGGCCTGGCACCCTCAGGACCTAGCACTGGGCCACGGCAAGGATTCACGATTGGATGTCTCCAGCTCACCTCATGGTCTTGCAGGCGCTGCTGCAGCAAAGTCATGGCACAGAGAGGGACAGGGCTTGCCACCCTGCCTCTCCCCCTGCAACGCGTACATCTGGGCACGCAGCCCACACAAGCAAGAAGACCAAGAAGGAAAGGGTAGAGCAGCTGCCGCTGGTGTTGCTTGGAGCCAGGGCCGAGCTTTAATATCTGCCTTGAAAGATATGAGACCACGTTCTTCCTCACTGAGATTTGATTTGCAGTATTTTGGTCATCTTTAACAGCACAAGCTTTATCACTACAACTTAGAAATAGACGTATTTTCAGTCTGCTCCTTCAAGGTCTCCAGAACTCTTTTTTCTCATTTGAAGGAATCTCAGAGAGTGAGCTCCAGCTCAGAAGAGATACCTGCTGTGAGCAATATTTCCTTGTTTCCCTGCTGTGAAAACCCAGTTTTCTCTTTAAAATTTCTGGATCAAATTGTGGGGGTGCAGAGCTGATTGCTACTAAATTCCTTTCAAGTTACCAGGTGGATAGAAGGTGGTAAAGCAGTGGACGTGGGCTATCTTGATTTTAGTAGAGCATTTGACACCATCTTCCACAGCATCCTTGCAGCTAAACTAAGGAAGTGTGGTCTGGACAATTGAGTAGTGAGGTGGACTGTGAACCAGCTAAAGGAAAGAAGCCAGAGAGTTGTGGTCAATGGAACAGAGTGAATCTATTTGGAGGTCTGTATCCCTCAAGGGTCAGTACTGAAATCGTACCAGATCTGGTACTGAGGACCAGACAGCATGCAGGGCAACCTTGCCAGGTTCAAGGCCAGGCTGGATCTGGCTCTGGGAAGCCTGGTCTGGTGGTTGGCGAACCTGCACGTAGCAAGGGGTTGAAACTAGATGATTATTGTGGCCCTTTTCTACCCAGGCCATTCTGTGATTCTGCGATTCTGTGATTCACTGAATGTGGTCCAGGCAAGCCAAAAGGTTGGGCACCACACTTCAAATGATAATCTATCTTGTTTATTATCTTATTAAAAATGTATGAGCTGCATGCATGGCCATTAGTATACGCATTACCAGAGATAAAATGCAAGGAAATAAATTCAGGTAAATGTATGTGGATATAGATCTTAATCATAATAATGTCTCCATCCAAGCTCTGCCAGCTGAAAGCTGGAACTAGCTAAAATAAGAGCTATTTCAAGGATTGCAAAGTGATACTCCTTCTTAAATATCTCCATCAAAATAATTCTGATGCCTTTAAACTGAGAAAAATCAAATCAGTGTTCTGGAGGACTTGGAACTGCTTTTCTCAGAAGCAGAGTTGTAATATCTTTGCAAAAAGGAGTTCCTCCCTCCAGGAGGTATCTGGCAAATAGACCTTTCTGACATGGTGAGCACCCATCTGTTAGCCCGATAGTGCAGCATAGTCAGGAAACAGAGTGTATCCAAAATTCTGTGATTAATGGAGCTGGCAGTATTTTTGCAAATGTTGGGAGAAAGCAAGAGACAAGACAGCACAATTTGCCATTGACTTGACTTTCTTGAAGTTAATCGGAATCAGGATAAAGTCAGAGGAATTTAACATTTCAGTTTAGGATGAAAGACAAATGAAATTTAAATTCAAAAGGGAAAATAATATATGTGAGCATTACTAATGTCCTCTGCTCCAGTACCTGCTTGGGAATTCAAGAATACTGATAAATGAAAGAGTATGGAGTCAATGAAAAACAGGTTATGATATGATGACTAAACTAAACTGAATGATGAGTGACTAAATCATTGTAATCCAGAACAATTTGCTTTGAATTTCCCAATTAAATAATCCCAAAGCAGCAATATTTCTGCCCCTTCTCTCTAACCTACAAAGATCAAACTGTGAAGCGTAACAAGCAGTAATCAGTCTGTGAGGAACTTTCCCACTAGTTTTCCTATGGTATCCTTAAAGTTTTGCTCAGACCTGCACACACTTGCATTAATACTCCAGATTCTCACAGGATAAATGGTGTCTGTCTGGTCCAAACTGCTGTGCAGCACTATCTTTACTCTGTTAAATACTCAGTATGGATATATCATTTAAAAAAGAGGCATGGCTTTAAGCTCCATTACGAAACCCATGTAACAGCAAAACCCCGTTCAATGCTCTCCAATTTATATCTGCACTAAAATAACATTTTATGAGTAATAGATAATAACATTTATTGAGTAATAGATAAGTACTTTTGAGTAGAATCTAATTTGATAAAGTAAAAACTTGTATACATCAGAAACTATTTTATCTTTATCACCACTGTTTCTTCTAACTGCTAAAGTATGTCAAGAAGTTTTGTTGTATGATTCATGTATTAATCATGATTTTTTACAAACACTTAATCTGCTGCTTTGTTTACTTCTATGATAGGATTGTTTTCGCCTAATTCTCTTGGACAAAAGCAAGAAAATAAGGAAGCTAAGAAAATGGTGCTCGAGAAATTCCAAAAGCTGATCTTCCCCCTTCATTGTGTGTTTCAAGTTTTTGCAATGAGAGGAATAAAAAGAACTCTGTTCATGCTTAGGAGGACCTTTTTTGAAGATGTCCATCTGGACCGTCCTTGCTTATATTAAAAATCAGGAATACAGAAGATACTTTGTAAAACAAAAGAAAATGTAAGTTATATCAGCAAGACTATGAATTTCTGCCTATATCCAAAAGGGAGAGATATGTATGTATCTTTATACCACTTTTCCTTTTTGTCTTGGCTTTGTTAATCTGGATCTCTCAAAAGTAGGAACACTGTGTATATATAATATATATACATATATATAATGTAACTATATATATAGTTACAGCTGTAGCCCATAATGATTTGATTAATAATGGATTCTTGGTATTTACACAATATTTCTGATTCACTGTACTTTACTCATCACTCTTTGTTCAATTAGGAACCATCAGCAATCTTCCCAATGCTGTTTAACACCTATTTTTGAATTTGTACTTCTGTCTTGGTAAAGATATATATATATATAAAAGGTCTCTGTCATTTGTCTAGACAGTTCAACAGTGTACTGTAAGATGAATGAGCTGAATTAAAATGAAGCTTTCTCATCAAATAAGATTTTATCCATCTTTCAGTTAATTCCAAAATTTAAACATGAACCTCAGTGCTCAGAAACTCTGTGATATGTGGCTCTGAGTCCATAAGCCAACAAATGGATTCAGATGAAATATAAATATTGAGAATCACTCAGTAGTCACTTTAACTGTTAGAGAAAGAACTTCTTTGCTACTATCCATAGTGGAAAAATCTTGATCCTGCTATGTTAATATCTCTTATGTCTTCAGAGATGCATCCTCTTGAACAGGGTCAGGCCCATGGAGAAATGTAAGGTGTTGCCTCAAAATGCAGTGTTCTTTAATTCTTCTGCTCCTCTGTTTCTTTTCTTTCATTTCTTTTTTTCTTTTCTTTTTTTTTTTTTTCCCCAAGACATTCTTGTTTCAGCTGCTTCAGATGACTGCAGCTGATAAAACAGAGATGTCCCTAACCATTTAGACCTTTGCTTATCAAAGCAAAGATGTTAAACTCTACTGAAGGAAAAAAAAAAAGCAAGCACAGACAGTTTTTTATGTATTTCTCTTTGGTGTTCTGTTAAGATTCTTTGGTCTGTAAGGGGTTTTCCTCTTTTTTCAGTAATTAGGTCCCAAGCTGATTCACATGGTCTTCTTATGCAGAATGTATTGTGTTATTACCACATGGAAGACAGCTTTGCTCACTTGGTTGTGTTGCTCAGACAACCCTATTGGATTGTTTTTCCACTAGTGCAGGCGACCATTTGTGTACTGGAACTAAGATCATGGCTAGTAATTGCTTCTGAGAAACATAGTTCAGCTGTAACATCTTTCAGGAGAGGTTGGGTAGCATTTCATTATTTTGACTCATGAGGCAAGCCATCTTCCATTTTCTGTCAATATACATTTCTACCTTTTGTATCTCATAGTCCCCTAAGTGACTATTTATTGGAACAAAACAGTTAAATGTAACATTGGTTAGGGAACTATTGACTTTTCCTTCTAAACAATTCAAAGTACACAGAAAAAAAACAGATAGTTGTTAAAGAGCAAACTGTCTTTTACTAAGGTGAATTAGGTGCCTGAGCTGTGGTCACACGGTGGTATAAATGCCACCAAGTTTTCTGCTACCACCAGTGTGAACAAGTAAACTCCTCATTAGAAATTTTATATAATGTATGCTGCTATGATTTTCAGGTAAAGAAGTCTACGAATAAAGTAAAATCAGCCTAAGCCATATATGGAAAACTATTTCATCTTATCTCCAGATCTATTTAGACGTTTGAAAGAGAGGATCTCTGCTTCACTTGGTGCTTAGATGATGTCAGGGCTTTGTTTTTCCCTTTCTTTCAGTCTTCTGAGTCTGCTTTGCAAGACAGTTTGTGTAAGGCACAGAGGAAAAATATCCTCCAAGGAGTCTGTGCCTGGGCAAGTTTCTGGTGCTGATTGTAAGTGGTCCCTCGTTGTTGGGGAGGAGTGCATGCATGTCCACATTTGCAGCCTTTGGTATGGCAGTTCTCACTGTGCACTAGAGAAGTCAAACTGCAGTGCTCACAGAATTAATCACATCTAGCAGTTACAAGTCCATGACAGGAATTATTGCAACAAATGTCTGTTAGTATGCAAATGAGGCCTCTATTGCTTCCAGCATCATCCTGTAATTACTCAGCTATTTTCTCAAGTGTGATTTATTGAATCAGCAATTTATGAAGATGGAGTGGCATAACCTAATTTACTTGTGTAGCTTTGTTAATGGTTAAGGGGTAGAAATATGCTTCCTGTCACTTTTGCAATAGTATTTGTTAGCACTAGAAGTTGATATGGGTCATTTAATTTGTCTTGCAGCATGTTTTGGAATCAGCAGTTTCTCAGCAAGCTTGTTTTCTGTGATATTCTTGTGCATTTAGCTTAAAGACAAGCTCTGAGAAAACAGCAACAGCTGGTGCTAAACAAGAAGTAAATGGCTAGATGAATTGAGTAATATAAATAATTAGTAATTAGCGAGGAACTGACTGTATTCCTTACTATTGTGCCATTACTAAACACAACTCTAAACGAAAACTAAGGTTAATGTATTCTAGAAGCTGAAACAATATAATATGTAAAAATCAAAATAAGTGCTCACTGTAATTTTGTTCATGACCACTAAT